GCAGACACCCAGATCACATCAGCTCAATGAAGTGGTCTAGGGGTCAGGTCCCTCTAGTTTTAACCCTGCCTGCTGTAAACATAGCAGTTTTAGAGAAACTGCTATGTTTCACTGAGGGTTAATCCAGCCTCTAGTGGCTGTCTCACTGACAGCCGCTAGAGGAGCACACTGAACGTCCATAGTAAAGCATTGAGTAATGCTTTCCTATGGGCGGTTTGAATGCGTGCACGGTGCGCATTCGGAGCTGAGAGATCCCCAGCGCCAAGGGAGTCCGGCGCTGGAGAAAGGTAAGTGCTGAAGACACACACACACTCTCACCTACAGACGCATACACACTAGCTAACAGACACACACATTTACTGACAGAGACACACTCAGTGACAGACATACTCACACACACTCTAACACTAACACACACTCTAACACTCACAGATGTGTTTTTTTTTTTTAAATTTAAATCCTCACAGCCTCCTTACCTTTTGGAGTGCTGGGGGGATTCCCTGGGGTCCAGTGGTGCTGCTGGGCTCCTGGGCGGGTGGCCGGTCAGGCGGGCGTGCGAGGGAGCACTCTCTCCTGAGTGCTTCCTCTTCAGCTCCCTTGCGCACCGCGTAGGGATGCCAGCGCCGGAAGATGACGTCATCTTCCGGCTCCAGTATCAGTGCGGTGACACAAGGGCCAGCCTCGGGGGGCCCTGGGGAGGCCGGCTCCTGGGCCCCCCAGGAGAAGAGGCTGGCCCAGTGGGTACATACCGGGTCGCAGGGGCGGCCGGGCCCCCTGGTGGGCCGGGCCCGGTCGCAGCCACGACCCCTGCGACCCTGGTATGTACCCACTGGGATCTATCCTACATTTAATTTACTCCATAAATGCATACCATTTACACATTTGGACACCATAGGGACTTTGAGATTCCATTTTTTGTACCATTCTGTTCAGTTTGCGGTATTAATTTTTGCATATACATTTTTTTCCTGCTTATTTTTTTCATTTAATGTGTGCCACTTTATCAAAGCGTTCTAAACTGAACTCTGCATCATCTATTGAGTACAGCAATAATCTATATGTATACCTTTTTAAAATATTGATCTTAATCATACAACTAATTTATAATTTAGCCATAATCATAATCTTAATCCTAACAATAATTCTAGAAATAGTATTGTAAGAATTCTCTCTGATGACAACAGAGGAATTCCCTTGCCAATATCAGCAGAGGTATTCCCAGTGATTAAGATGGGGGTATAATACCACATGCCATATAGTGCACATGCGTGGGGATAATACTCACGGATGTAGGAACTAGCCTTCATTATAAGTCAATTATAATGTATATAGTATTATTACAATAGGTAGTTATGTATACATGGTATGCATAGTGTATTTTGTTTTGTATAGCTGGTGTATTATACCAATACCTGAAGTGATGATGTCACTTCCAGGGATGGTTATAATTTCATGCTGATGGCCATCAGCTGTATGAGGGCTTTATAAGCAGACACATGAGAACACAGATACAGGTACCCTTGATTAAGGCAACCAGTAGGTGCTGA